AGTAACTGAGCTGAGCTCTGCGCTAAGCATCTCGCGAAAAAAAATTCCCAAACAACTCCGCAAAAAACTTCCAAACGGTTCCGCAATTCAATTTCATTAAATCTTATTTATTTAAGATTTTTTGTATGAACTCTTAGGTATAGAATTTCTAATTAAGTAGGATTTTCTACTAGATAAAGTTTTTGGGTAGGTAGGTATGATTTTAAAACTTTTTATCACTTCTATATTGTATTTTTTTTTAATTCTTTGCTGTCGATATACTTTGGAACTTCTGCTTTGGCAGTTAGTTTGTAGTTTATTGATGACAAAAATAATGATAAAACTTCGGGTGGGCAAATAGCAAGATTCTCTTTCAAAAAACGGAGAAACCTGAGAGGGGCCACGCTGCCGTTTTTTGTAAGATGCTTTTTCTAGATCGTACACTAGCGGCGCGTACATCCATTTTACAGTCTGCCTGGAACTATATGGCCACATTTATTTTCCGGGATGGTAAAAGAGTCATGGTTGGTTCATATCCGTGTTACATCCACAATTTATTGAACAGAAATACGTCTCGCATATAGATATAATTTATATAGATACAATTTATAACATATAGATATAATTTATATCTATATGCGAGACATATTTCTGTTCAATAAATTGTAGATGTAACATGGACATGAACCAACCAGAGCTCTCTTACCATCCCAAAAAATGAATGTGGCCATGTAGTTCCAGGCAGACTGTAAAATAGATGTACGCGCCGCTAGTGTACAGCCTAGAAAAAGCGTCTTACGAAAAACGGCAGCGTAGTCCCTCTCAGGTTTCTCTCTGGTAATATAATGTAAATACACTGAATTATATGTATATGTATATATGCTGGAAATTCCAATATATAGAGCTGCCAGACAACCGTTTTCTAGAAAAATAAACAAACCGTTCGTCGCACAAGCTAAGTTTTTTAAATTCTGACTTGTATGACACACCAGTTACGGCCCAGCCACTTCTCTTCAGGTAAGGACGTAACAGTAATGTTACTACAACATTTAATACATGTATGACAGCTCTGTTCTAAGATTATCCATATAAACAATAAAGGCAAATATTAATATTACTTTTCGTCCTACAATTTCTGATATTTCAAATTTGTTCTTGCATAAGCATCGAAATATTCAAAATATTTTACTTTATATTATTTTATTCTTGACAAAAATTATTTTCTTGCAAGTTATATTACACATTAACAGACATATTTTGTACTTTGGAGCCAATTCTTTTTTTACTATAAAGCATTTATAGTTGTCAAATAATTTTCTATAATTTATTGTAAATCAAAGAAAGCAAATATCTGCTGTAACAATTTGCAATATTAGCAGGAATAATTAATTTTTATAAATATTATGTAAGCCGAAATCGAAGACCGATGACCCCATAATTTCTAACTTGTTTTCCATATTCGTCTATTCGTTTTTTTACTTTTTCTTTAACAGCATCAAGTAGTCGCTCTTCTCTCAAAAGAACTTTCGCGAATTGACGCACCTAAGACAAATTATTTCGACAATAAGTATCAATAAATCTAAAATTTTTTTTGCACTACAGTTTATGACAGCATAAATTGCTGTGAGGAGTGGAAAAAATTTGAAATTTTGAAAAATTTTATTTTTGGTTTTTTACACATTCCAATAGTGTGATTCTTTAAGAATATTTCCCTGTTTGTTTTTTTAGAAATTCGCAAAATTGAGTTCAAAAAAGCCAAAAATGTGAGACCACGTATATCCGCAAAGTATCCGCGCACAGGTAGTGGCTCGTTTTTGTGTCGCAATCACTTTTCCCTCGTGTTTCTATTGTTCAAATTTGTGGGGACACGCAGCTGTTTAAAATTTGGACTCCACCCTAAAGAGGGGTAAAGCTAACGGAATTTAGTGCATAATATTTCTGCCGCTAGTTTAAACGACATTTAAAACACGCTAAAAAAAAATTTACGTATGTTTATTCACTCGTCCACAAACAACATTTAAATTTTACTCAATTTTCGGCCGTTTAAATCTTTCCACTCCCCTTAAAGGTAATCATCGGATCAAATATGTCATATTTCACGAGGGTAAGTCAGAAATTATCCGCAATTTTTTCAAGTAATTCTCATTCTCTTTCACATAATTCTCATATTGCAGGTAATTTCTGACTTATCCTAATACATGAGAAATCAAATAAAAATAAGTTTAATAATAAAAAGTCAGACAATGAGTGTTATTTAAGTTAAAAAAAATGTACCCTTTTAAATTGATTTACATCATGTTGGTGCGTAATAATAATAATAAATATTGCAATTTGATAAGATTGCCTGCAAAAACAAAGTAATAAATATTATTATTTAAAAAGACAACAAGAACCAAAGAAACGTATGGATAAATATTATTACTGTAACAAATATTTATATATGTATATAGAAATATCTTTATAAAAAAATTATCATTACGTGTTGGAAGTTGAATACATATATATATGAGTATTAAGACGTTGCAATACAAAATTGAACGCTATATCGTTTTCTGCATGCTTCGCAATAATAAGAAGATATATTTGAACATGCTTATTGCGATCTATTCTTTTGAAAAACTCGTTTTCGGTCAATACACTTAAATAACCTCGTATAAGTGTAGGATTTGTACAGCAAGTTAAGTATTCTAAAATTGTATGTTTATATGTTTCTATCCATTTCTTAAATACATCGTACCAAATGGTATTGTTCGCTGATGCAAAACCATTGCAATACATCCATTCTGTCCGTGATACTGATTGCGTTATAAAACTGCGTTATTAAAAAAATTATTTCTTAAAAAGTTTAGCTTATTTTATGATAAAATAATTTATCCAGTACAGTATTTGATGTATGTAATGTAAGCATATGTAATGCAACAAAAATTGCTTATATAAATATTTGTTTGTGTTTGTAAAACATCTTACGTATCACTTTCAGAATGCAGATCTGTCATCATTTGCTTATTGGCTACTTCTCTACATTTTTTGTCACCAACAATACATGCCCATTTTACAACTTCCTCTCTTAAACATTCAGTAAGAGCATTTTCGTTCAGTTTTGCGTTGTATCCTATTTTTTGCAGAACGTTCTTTAATATTTCTTGCATTTCTTTCTAGAAATTATTAAATAATTTGAATTTTATATTTATTGTTATTTGTTAGATTTAAAAAATATAATGTATAATTACACACACATATACATATAAATTTATTTGAACTTTCTTTATATATACCTAATGTTTTATTGCAATCTTTCTTATAGAAATTTGCTATTACCTACCTTTAGGTTTTTAGCATCTTTAATTGGAGTTATAAGAGTCATATGTTCAAAAGCTTTGAACATAGGATACCATGCTACATAATTCGTATCTCGTGATAGAAATGCAGAGATTTTCCAAAACATAACATAATCAAGTTGTTTATGTAAGAGGAAGTGAAATGCATCATCTATGATTTGGGCCCGATTAAGAACATGTATGTTGATATATTTCGTAGAATTCATGTATTTCGCAAGTTCAAGCCAATTTTCAGTATTATAATTAACACGATAATATCCTATTGTGAAAAGGAAAATTTCCATCATTAAAGTCTCTTGATAGAATTTATTAAGAAATTATTTATATATATATTAAAAGGCTTCTCGAGCCATCGCTGGTTGTTGATGCGAAAGTTTTATGTTTCATATAGAAACTTGATTCGTCTACATTGAGACATATTAAAGTATACACTGGTCTCAGATTCGAGATACTAAAGTATACGTAAATTACATACATTGATCTCATTTTCGAGAATGTACGAATTAAAATAAGGAAATTATTGAAAAGAGAGCAAGAAGAACGAGAGAAAAAATATCAGGGCGCAAATGGCTAAGCCGGAAAATAATTTCTAATATCGTTTTTTGTGAAACATATCTTCTCAATGAGAAATGACATCAAATCGACACCTAATTGACGTCAAATCATCAATATTACTTCGTATTGATGTCGACTTGACATCAACTCGATAAGTCATTTTTCGCTGAGCTCAAATTATTTATTTTATAATAGAATATTTTAAACAATTTATTTGAAAAAATTGTAAGAGCGAATAGCATGTGAAAATGTATGTTTGTGAGCATGACACTTGCGAGTGTGCGAGCATTAGGGTGCATAAGATTAAAAGATAGCAAGATAAAACAAGATATCAAGATAAAAAATTTAATATTTCATATTTACCTGTTTGTTGTAAATTGACTATAATCCAATCATTTTCTTTAAAATTTTCCGATAACGTTACCGATTTTTGCGGTGATAGCCAAAAGGATTTATTGACAAAAATCTCGTGAAAGTTCATAATTGATTTTGTCGTATATGTCACGAATGTTGGAAGATGTACTTTGTCAATAAAAGTAGTGTCCTCGTCAATAAAAGTAGTGAGATATTGGAATCTTGTGTTGTTAGTGAACTGATTTCGTGTCACGTACAGTACAGGGTAATATTTTTTGTTTATCCAAACAGATATAAGTTCTTTTATAATAAATGTGTCTGAGTTATCTGAATACGTATGTAAAACAGTTTGCATAATGTTCCATAAATTATTTGTTTGATTATATCTGTAATATGGAAAATTTTTGTAAGAGTGTACACCATATGAATTTTTTAGCAAAAATTTTGTGTTTAGCAAACACATAATTTTGTGTTTGCTAAACACAAAATTATTATTAAGTATACGAAAACGTTAATTTATTGCATATTTATATAATTAGTAATTAGTAATATTTGTACATGAAAGGGACCCAAAATCTAATAAGATCATCGATTGGCCCCCTTTGAACCTTCCAATTTTTATATGAAATATTTTTCTTTAAAATGCATTATTCAAGAGATATTTGAAGTCATTATTTAAAAAGGGACACCCTATATATATTTGGATGATAGAATTTTAAATCAAATAATTCTTCTTCGTCATTCTTCTTCAATATTCCATTTATGTAATTATTATCTAGCGAAAGATTTCAAAAGATATTACTTACTGTTTGTTATTAACATATGTGCGGATACCAGTCCAAAACATATCAGGAGTTATCAAATGGTATAACATGCGCCATATATTGGATGCTGAAACAATTAAATCTATAATGTGCTTAAGTACTTTGAAATATATATATTTTTTAAATAAAGATATATTTCTTTTATAATAAAATGTATACATCAATATTGTATTTTAAATTTTGTGTAGTTCAGTTTTTATATTCTTTTCCCAGACAGCACACATGTCCAAAATACATCCAAAGGATATCCGAAGGATATCCAGAGGACGTTTTGTAGTCCCAAAAACATCCTCTGGGCGTCTTTTGGATATGTTGTGCTGTCTGGGTTATAAAATTTAGAAATTTACGTATTATTCATCACTATTATTTTATTATATATTTACTTTGTGGTATAATTGTAATAGTTGTAATGATATTTACAACCATTAATTATAAGCTTTTAGTTATATTTCCTTAACTTACATTTTATATGATCTGTAGAATAACTAAGTGAATTCATTTCATTAGAAACATTTAATGCATTAGAAGGAGTATCGAAGAGAAAGGATTGTCGTTGTGTTTTGGCGATAAATAAGTTCATTATGTCACTACTCTTGTCACTATTCCTAAAAAGCTGAAAAGTTTAAAATAATGAAACAAATATTTTATTTAAAAAATATATTTAAAGCAATACAGCACTATACTGATTGCTGCAAATAAATTTTTAGATTGTTTTTTATTATAAAATAAATTATTTATTAAATAGTTATTAACAAAAGAAGCTTAATGAATACAACGTAATTTTCTGATACACGTATATTAAATAGAATAAATTCTTAGCAGATTTATTTATTTATACGTGGTAAATTGAATATATGCGTTTTAATCGTCATTCCACGTTTAAAAGTTTTAAATTAAAAAAAATATTTTATAAAGTATTTAAAAAAATTTTAAATACTTTTTTCGTCAAAGTAACCACCCTTAGTTTAAATTACTTTTTTCACTAATCTTGATAACCTGAGTGCAAGTTTATTAATTTTTTCTGATGAGATTTTTCCATCCGTCATCTAAAATAGCTGAAAGATTTTTCAATATTGGACATGTTTCTCGGACCATTCAATGACTCTCTTGAAATGAAAACATAATATTTCTAACGTTAAGTTACGATATTGAAATGAAGAATTTTATGAACGTACTCTTTTTTTCTGTTATTTCCTCAAAATTAAACAATACTAAATTAACTACAGCTGTCTTAAATAATGGTAGGTTACTTTCAACTAAAAAAAAATGTTGAACGTACAACGAGTCAAACTTTTAAATAACTACACTGATATATTCTAAAATTTTGTATATGATCTCAAACTTTTGGCCTGCAGTGTACATACACATATTATAGATAGTCATCACTTGCTTTACAATGCACAGATAATTATTACAAACAAGTTTGAAAATATAAGACGGGAAGGGGTTCCGCACCCAACTCTTCTCCAAAAAATATAGGTGTTGGATAGAGGATAAGGTTTTCTCGGGATGAGAATGCAGAAAGAGAGAGAGAGAGAGAGGTAGATTCCTCTTCCGTTCAATTTATCATGTTTAAGTAAATAAATCTGTTAACAATAACATTTTTTTCTATTAAATATAGATGGTATTATAAAATTACGCTCTATTTCTGTAAACTTCTTTTGTTAATAACTTTTTAATAAATATGAACGACGACTAAACTTTTTTCTTGTTACTTAGAACAACTGGTTTTGGTAACATATCTCAAGGTCAAAACGATTAGATTTGATTGTGTAAATCTAAATATTTACCAAATGTAGTATATCAATAGTAAAAATTTAAACAACCTGATGCAAGATATGCGTTGCAAACAATGTAACAAAACCTGTTTTTGACCACAGAAACACATCACTATAGCAAAGAGATATTATTTCATATGTTATTAAGTATGCCACTTTTATTTCATGCTGAATGGGATCTGAGTCTTTATCATCAATAATATCAGCTTCTCTGAAAAATGTTTTCAAACATGAAAAGTTTGTCGACAATGTTTGCGGTAATTAAACAATTTAATAGGTTCCCTATTTTGTAGATATAACAAATAATTACAAAGCCACGAATAAACTTTTTTATAACTGTTTCTTGCAAAAAATACAAGATTTTTTGTACTTAATCTAATAACAAGAAGTAAAATGATTTTTGACAATTTTGGTTTGTTATCTATTTTTATTTAACAATGTAATTTATTGTTACGTCCCGAGCAGACTCCACGATTCTTTTCTTTTTGAATAAGATATAACATTAAATACCAGACCTAATAAACGTGGAACCAACAAAATTTTTAAAGAATATTATAACGCTAGAGCTGCTTTTCTCACGAGACACCACGAGCTCGAGCCTTCTCACAGAGAAAAATAGCAGGTGGCATCAATATTTCAAACAAACTTGGCCGTTCAATGTGCCTATCGGCGCCAGAAAAATCGTAAAACTTTGCTATAGTTGGAGTCTTCAGCCGACTCCAGACGTTTAGAGTAAGAGATAAAAACTGGCACAAAAACAAGCTAGCCCATATTCGTTGATTCCACCTATGAAAATCCTAGCTAATAGATAGGGTTGTATTGGGTAATGATCGAGCAATGACCGCAGTCGCATACTGAGAAGGCGTGACACTTGACACGGCGCACGTGTTCGATAGGTCTGGGAAACCGAGATGCATTAGTCATACTCTCCACGCGACTCATCACGCGACAGTCATAAACTGTCAAATTTATTGCACCAATGACTTAAGGCCCTGTGAACTTATACACCGATTCTCAAACCTCCAATCCGAAAGCCTGGAATCGGGGCAAGCACTTCTATAGACCACCCATCATGCTATCGTATGGTCTAAAGACTACGCCCATCCAGATCTTAAGGCACCGAGATGTATGCCACCTATGTTAATTAACACCAACCGGATTACGCCACATCAAAAATCCACCCCCATCGTATATGGACCCGAAACGACGCTACTCCTTATTCGTTAGGGCCCCTTTCTTCCTACCCCCATTACAAGTAATCTAATTATCTAAACTTAAGCCTATTAGTTAAAAGTGACGCCATCTTTCCCCGCATTAAAAATCTTCTTGTAAGATTAAATCCTATTCGATCCCCACCTCAAAAACCTAGGATTTTCCAAATGGATCCATTCCAAGAAAAGAGTATAAAAACCCGTGTTCTGATGGTCCTCCAAAAAAAACAGACTCGCAGTTATTTCTCACAGATATCCAGTCGTCTCTCTAAGTTCGACATACAGCATTTCTCTAAGTTCTCGATACAGTCAATTTTCTGATTTTCTCGACACGGTTACAGTCACTTTCCTAACAGTTTTCGGCTTCTTCGGAAAATCTTCTCAAATAGTTCGGGCTACGAATTAGAGGATAATCTCCTCTCACAGAAAAACTCGTCGCGAGTAGTATTGTTAAGTGATATTTAACCGCGACCGAGTGGTGCCTCATCTTCAAAAAGAGGGTCCGTCTGTTACACAACACCATCTCTCAGCAGGGCGCCCACTTCGAGCGATCCGAAACTACTCTGCACTTAAATCGGAACGAATATCTTTCTCTCATCGTAACGAGTAAGTCGGTTCCTTCTTTATTTTATTATTTCTCTGTCCTCTCTCCTGAGGAATGACACACATTCATTATTGTAAAAATACACAAAAATAACTACACATATGTATATATTACATTACCTACGATTAAGAGTTAAATTTTTTTGTATCAAAACCAAACATTCTGATTAAATGTTAAGGCATTATTAAATTAAAATTTGCTTTTATCCATTTAATTAAACCTTCCTCGTTCTTTCAAAACCACCTTCCCTCTCAAATGGTGCACGAAGGTTCTGTCCCGGATAAAAGGGATTTAATTCCTTGACCCAGAAAGGAACCAGCGAGCGGTTGACTTTTTTGAGCGGTTGATTTTTTTGAGCGGTTGATTTTTCATAAATAACTTCACGGATAAAAAAGAAAATTGGAATTTGGAAGACAAGAACTCTGATAAATTTGGACAAAATAACTGATATAATAAAAGCTTTTATAACAGTCACTTTATATGTACAATTTATAGCACACAGTCATTTTTCACGTTTCTAAAACTGAAGCTAAAATAAAATCTGAATTGACGAAAAAGATGATTATTTCAAATTTTAATCTAAACTAAAGGTAATGATATTTTTTTAATGTGACGCAACTGAAATTGTATAGATTTGAACTATTTTTCAATTTATACATTGTGACATAAAAATATGTTTATCTTTCAGTTTTGAAATTATATTATTTGATAGTTTTACATTTCTTATTTAATAATCATTTTTGATCAATTTATTTCAGTTTTAAATATTACCTGTGTAAAATTAGTCCCCATGTCTCAGTGGTATTATGTTGATCATCCCAAAATGCAACATAGTCTATTTTTGGTAATTTGTCTATAGCATTTTGACGTTTTAAAAAGTATAGTACTTGTTGGGCAATACATTCCGCTAAATGTAAATAGCCTGTCATGTTTTTTCTACTCCAAAATGTGACGTTTCCAACCGAAGTATGAGTGTTAGTGAATGAAGTTATTACCACCTTTATATGTTCGATAAATATTGAAGTTGATTTTTCAAAATGTGTCCACATCATGTCAGATTCAAGTTTGTCATTTTCTGTTGCTTGTATAGGCATATTTGATAAAGCTGCGTAATTTTTATGATGCTTGATTGAAATTTTATAGGTGGCATTAAATACTATCTTGTCCCAGCATGGGAATAGTTGTTGAGCAGTTATTACATCAACACCTGTCGCATTTAACCTATCATATTTTAACAATATGGTAAATATAAAATTTTCAATATAATTATACTCAAGGATCGACTAAGGATAAACTATAAAGGATAGACTAAAAATGTTGGATTTCATAAAAATTGAATCATAGTTTATAACGCTGTACAGAATGTTGCAAATGCACCAATTTGACATATATTTCTACATCTTAAGATCAACAAATTTAAAATGCAGTGTTGAATTCATTTGAGTACTATTATGTCTATTTTATGTAACACGCAATTTTCAAGATGTCATCTAATTCATAAATATGCTTAATAAATACACTTTGGAAAGGATATTAGCGAAAATAGTCTTTATAATATAAATTTGTTTCAAATATATTTTTACTTACATATTGTTCGGATTTTTATTAAAGTCTGAAGATGCAGAGAAATGCCTCTTGTCATTATTTATGTGACGTATATATGCCATTTGTAGAGTGTATTTTCCAGGTGATAGAAATTTTGAAAGTTTTGGCGTGTTGGAAAAATCAATCGTAAGCTTGTTTAGTTTATTATTAAATGAATATCTTGGAATATTAATTTGTTCTTTAAAAAGGTTGTCATACAAAACAATTTGAAATATAACGAAAATCACTGGATGCATGGATATCCTTTTTGTTCGACGATTAATAAGTATAGTTATATTACATTCACCAATAATGTCATTTGTTTCGTAACTATATCTTATTTTGGCATCATAATGCAATGGTGTTATAACCGGTGTTAAATCTGATAAATGAAATGTAGTCTCAAACTCGGGATCAACAGCAGTGCAAAGTGCTATTGTAACGATTAACATTATTTCGCCATTTGTTAAAAGCTTTTGGAATATCATATTTAGTTTGCTTTATATATAAAGTTTCTGAAAAAATGTTAGTTAGCAATAAAACATATACATTTGCAACACATATTCTTAATTTTTATATAACAAAAAAAAGTATATAATAACGATTAAAGTAACTTACAATGAAAAAATACAATGAGAAAAAACCATGATATACTGAGAGCAAAGTGTCATATTTTGAACAATAATTGTATGATATTATAATTATAGTTACGGCACTTAATTTTATAGGAATCGTTAGTATAATGTTAGGAATATAATTTTATACGTATAGTATATTGCCAAAGATATAAGCAATCATATAGTTAGAACATTTAGAAAAACATGGTAGACACCAAATAACGCTATTGATTATGGTTATTGCTATTATTCTTTTCTTTCAGTGTAAGATATAATAAAAGAAACGTGAAAAAGTAAAATTAATAAAATATTTTTGACAGTGTTTGGAAAGATAGTAATATTGTTTGTATATATATGAGTAATTTCATAGAGTATCATCAAAACATGTTAAATACTTAAACATATTAAAACATATTAAACATTTAAAAATACTTTTTGCAATACAAAACTATAAAAATACACGAAATTATAACTTAAAGTACTAGTAATCCGAGAAACATTAAAATGTTAAAATATTATATTTATTATCAGTTATGATATACATTTTCAAATACATGTAAGCAAGCTGTGCGCGCACACATACACAGTTAATTATTTGCACTTTGCAGTAATGATAATTAATTATTACACACGAAAGACTTATGCTGTACAAAATAAAAAATAAAAGAGTGAAAAAAAGTTAGTGATACAGTTACTTATGCAGAAAAAAATTTGAGAAAATAAAGTTGTATTTATCATGCTTTATAAATTTTTCTATGTTCTGAATTAGAAATATTTGGTCTCTGGTTACTTACCTACATATGTATATTAAAATTGTCAATTAAAATGCAATGCTACGTAAAAACCTTGTAATAATAATACAGTTAATACTCGCAAATCGTAAATGCCAAAAGTATATAAATCAAACTGCGATTCTATTTGCACCGAGAAGTCTCCAAATACTAAGAAGGATATTTGTAATTGATATTATGTATGTCTCACAAACAGTTGCTAAAAGGTCATTCAATAGGCAAACACTTTACTAGTCGATAGAAAATAATATTCAATTTGGAGGCAGATATAACTTCGATAGCTCGATAGCTCGATATAAATACGATCATGTGTCACAATAACGAAGGTTGAGTAATTGTTAACGGTTTAGTGATTGTCCAAATGTGTGGCAAGGTCTGTCATTGCTCATTTGTCTTGCGTGCTTAAAGGGAAAACAAGAGACCAGCAAATTAAAAACATGAATTGACCAAATCATGTTTATTGTAAGAGATATCGTCAGAGATGTGCCCCATAATTCGTTTTCTATCGCTCGATCTACCTAGTCCGTCGGATTTCTCTTTCTTTTAGATAATCTCGAATTTGTTGATTTCTTGAATTTCTTTAGATGTCGCAGGACTGCTACGGATTGTTTAAGACTGTCTGGATCTACTTAAAACAGTGTAATGCCCCGTCTACACGTTGTCTTTAACTGATAGTTTGAATCAGCTACACGGGCAATTTAACATCAGATCTTTTCAACACACTATCTTAAAGACAGCGTGCAGATTGGGGCATAAGATTGCCCCCCGTTCATGAAATGTGTTCTTACAACTTTAAATAAGCAATATTTTTGATCTGAAAATAGAGCCCATTAAACGATGATAACTTCAAGAATGTTTTTTATCATCGAATCGGTAGAAGAAATAATATTTGGCTACTCGTTATAAATTAAACATTTCGGAAAAACAGATTTTTTCTAGGTGAAACCTAAATGTACTTTCATTACCAAGATATACATATTAACTAAAGAAATTGTGAGTTCGATATATCAGCGATCGCCAATAGTGAAGAATCGCGCACCATATAATATGATAGAAACAACTTTTAATTCATATATGTCAGCTCTGTTCTTAGATTGTCCATATAAACAAATAAAGGCAAATATTAATATTACTTTTTGTCTTACAACTTCTGATATTTCAAATTTGTTCTAGTATAAGCATAGAAATATTCAAAACATTTTATTTTATATTATTTTATTCTTGATAAAAATTATTTTGTTGCAAATTACATTACATTCCTAGACATATTTTGTAGGTAATTCGGAGCCAATTCTTTTTTCACTATCCCAGCGAGAAATGACCTATCAATCGACGTCAAATTGATGTCTGACGTTGAAATCATCGATATTGCATCGTATTGATGTCGACTCGACATCAATTCGAAGAGTCATTTCTTGCTGGGTATAAAGCATTTATAGTTATCAAATAATTTTTTATAATTTATTGTGAATCAAAAATGGCAAATATCTGCTGTAACAAAAATTTGCAGTATTAGAAGGAATAATTAATTTTTTTTTAATAGACCGATGAGCCCATATGTTCTAACTTGTCTTCTATGTTCGTCTATTCGTTTTTTTATTTTTTCTTTAACAGCATTAAGTAGTCGTTTTTTTCTTAAAAGAACTTTCGCGAATTGACGCACCTAAGACAAATTATTTCGACAATAAGTATCAATAAATCTAAATTTTTTTTTACATTACAGTTTATGACAGCATAAATTGCTGTGAGGAGTGGAAAAGATTTGAAATTTTAAAAAATTTCATTTTTGGTTTTTTACACATTCCAATAGTATGATTCTTTAAGAATATTTCCCTGTTTGTTTTTTTAGAAATTCGCAAAATTGAGCTCAAAAGAGCCAAAAATGTGAGACCGCGTATATCCGCAGTGTCCGCGCACAGGTAGCGGCTCGTTTTTGTGTCGCAATTACTTTTCCCTCGTGTTTCTATTGTTCAAATTTGTGGAGACACGCAGCTGTTTAAAATTTGGATTCCACCTTAAAGAGAGGAAAAGCTAACGGAATTTAGTGCATAATATTTCTGCCGCTAGTTTGAACGACATTTAAAACATGCTAAAAAAAATTTACGTATGTTTATTCATTTGTCCACAAACGACATTTGAATTTTACTCAATTTTCGGCCGTTCAAATCTTTCCACTCCCCTTAAAGATAATCATCGGATCAAATATGTCATATTTCACAAGGGTAAGTCAGAAATTATCCGCAATTTTTTTAAGTAAAACATAATTCTCATATAGCAGGTAATTTCTGACTTATCCTAATACATGAGAAATCAAATAAAAAGTTTAATAATAAGTTAAATAATAAGTTAAATAATAAGTTTAATAATAAAAAGTCAGACAATGAGTGTTATTTAAGATAAAAAAAATGTACCCTTTTAAATTGTTTTACATTATCTTGGTGCGTAATAATAATAATAAATATTGCAATTTGATAAGATTGCCTGCAAAAACAAAATAATAAATATTATTATTTAAAAAGATAACAAGAACCAAAAAGACATATGGATAAATATTATAACTGTAACAAATATTTATATATGTATACAGAAATATCTTTATAAAAAAATTATCATTACGTGTTGGAAGTTGAATACATATATATATGAGTATTGAGATGTTGCAATACAAAATTGAACGCTATATCGTTTTCTGCATGCTTCGCAATAATAAGAAGATATATTTGAACATGCTTATTGCGATCTATTTTTTTGAAAAACTCGTTTTTCAATGCGCTCAAATAAACTTGTATAAGTGTAGGATCTGTACAGCAAGTTAAGTATTCTAAAATTGTATGTTTATATGTCTCCGTCCATTTCTTAAATACATTGTACCAAATGGTATTGTTCGCTGATGCTAAACCATTGCAATACATCCATGCTTCCCATGATGGCGTTATAAAACTGCGTTATTTAAAAAAGTATTGTTTAAAAAATTCAGCTGGTTGAAGTTTGGAACGTTCCTGGAACGATTTTTTAAAAATAATTTGTCGCTCTTGTACTTTTGCAGGGAGGAAGTTTTGAGACCCACAAACAAAGTACAAAAGAGAACGATCCAAAACATGAGTCGGAAGACATCCTTTTATCCGAAAAACCACCCTCAAAATTACTTAAACAATTCTAGCCAAGCTAAAAATGATTTGTCGCTTTTTTCCTTCTGCACGGAGAAAGTTCCGAGGCCCTCACACGACATGCAAAAGAGACCGATTTGATACACGCGTCAGAAGACACCCTCATACTCGAAAAACCACCCCCAAAATCAATTTAACGATTCTCCTCAAGCTAAAAATAATTTGTCGCTTTTTTACTTTTGCATACAAGAAGTGCTGAAGCTCTCACACGACATGCAAAAGAGATCGAACCGATACATGCGTCGGAAGACACCCTTTTGGGGGTGATTTTTCGGGTAAAAGGATGTCTTCCGACGCATGTATCGGTTAAGTCTCTTTTGCATGTCGTGTGAGGGCCTTAGAACTTCCTCTATGCAAAAGGAGAAGTGCGACAAATTATTTTTAGCTTGAGGAGAATCGTTTAATTGATTTTAGGGGTGGTTTTTCGAGTAAAAGAGTGTCTTCCGATGCATGTATCGGTTTGATCTCTTTTGCATGTCGTGTGAGGGCCTCAGAACTTCCTCTATGCAAAGTAGAAGAGCGACAAATCATTTTTAGCTTGAGAAGAATCGTTTAATTAATTTTGGGGGTGGTTTTTTGCGTAAAAGAGTGTCTTCCGACGCATGTATCGGATCGGTCTGTTATGTATGTTATGTGAGGGCCTCAGAACTTTCTCTATGCTAAAGGAGAAGAGCGACAAGTTATTTTTTGTTAGGCGAGAGTTTTTTAGACGCTCTGGAGTGGTTTTTCGAGTGTAAAGGTATCTTCCAACGCATGTATCGAATCGGTTTCTTTTGTATGTCGTGTGAGGGCCTCGAATCTTTTTCCCTGCAAAAGGAAAAGAGCGACAAATCATTTTTAGTTTCAGGAGAATCGTTTAAGTAATTTTGGGGGTGGTTTTTCGGGTAAAAGGGTGTCTTCCGACGCATGTATCAAATCGGTCTCTTTTGTACTTTGTTTGTGGGTCTCAAAACTTCCTCCCTGCAAAAGGACAAGAGCGACAAAGTATTTTTAAAAATTCGTTCCAGGAACGTTCCAAACTTCAACCAGCTAAAAATTCAGCGTATTTTATGAAAAAATAGTTTATCTAGTATTCAATGTATATAATGTAAGTATACGTAATGCAACAAAAATTGTTCATATAAATATTGTGGTTGTAAAACATACGTGGCACTTTCAGAATATAGATCTCTTGTCATTTGCATATTGGCTACTTGTCTGCATTCTTTGTTACCAATAATACATGCCCATTTTACGGCTTCCTCTCTTAAACATTTGATGAGAACGTTTTCATGTGGTTGTGGTTCGTATTTTATTCGATACAGAACTCCACTCAATAATTTTTCCATCTTTTCCTAAAAATTGGTAAATAATATAAATTTCAATCGATTGTTCTCTGTAAAAGATATGTATGTATATTTATACATATCTAAATTTATTTAAATTTCTTTATATGCAAAGTGATTCAAAACAACCTGATGTTCTTGAAATATCATATCCTTGAGGAATTTCTAAAACAATTTTTCCTTTTGCAAAATTTTGTCTGCAACTTTTTGTTTGAATGCTTTTAAATTATAATTGAAAATAATTTGCTACTCACACTCACACACTCTATGACTGCGTTACGTTACTCTTATGATGCGTTGCACCGTTCCAGCATTCTTGTTTTACCGGACTCACGTGTATACGAGTAGCGAACCATTTTCAATTATATCTCAAAAACTAACCTTGGGTAGACTTCCGAAAAGTTATCACCTCTAATTTGGCTGATATTCAGCCTAAATACTTATTTTATCTAGTAAATAATATTCCTAAATAGATTTTTGGCGCAAATGCCTTCTCCGCCCCCCAGACACCCTCAAAGGTAAAACTGTTTTTGTTAATAATTTCAGAAAGTATTTATTGTACGGAAAAAGTTGTCAAACAAAAAATGAAACTCATAAAAAGCTCTACAAATAAGATTGATATATATTTTACCTAACGCCAATATTTTAGTCGTTATAATCAAAAAACTTGTAAAGGCCTCCCTAGGAGGGGCGGCACCCACTGCATCCACTGCATACGCTTTACAACGCGAAGCGAGTTTCCACATGGGTTTATGAATTTATACGCAAAGCGAGATTCAATCCAAATCCTATGTGTATAGTTTCCTGATGATGGAATCCCCCGTAGGGGGGCAAAACACACTGCCTCCAGATTTCTAATAATAACGACTAAGATATTGAAATTAGGTAAAATATATATAGGATCTTATTTGTAGAGCTTTTTATAAGCTTCATTTTTCGTTTGACAACTTTCTCCGCACAATAAATACTTTCTAAAAAAATTAACAAAAACAGTTTTACCTTTGAGAGAAGCTAGGGAACAGAGGGGGCACTTGCGCCAAAAATTCATTTGGGAATAATATTTGCTAGATAAGATAAGTATTTAGGCTGAAAATCAGAGGTGATAGCTTTTCGGAAGTTTATCCCTAACCTTCCAACAAAATTTTGCTAAATAAAAAATTATATTAGAAATCACTCAAGAATATGACATTTCAAAGACATCAGATTGTATTGAATTATCCTGTACAAATAATATTTTGATGCAATCTTTATAGAAATTTGCTATTACGTACCATTACGTTGTCAGCATTTTTAATTGAAATCATAACAGTCATTTGTTCAAAAGCTTTAAACATAGGATACCATACCACATAATTCGTTTCTCGTGACAAAAATTCAGAAATGTTCCAGAACGTAACATAATCAAGTTGTTTATGTATGAGGAAGTAAAATGCATCATCTATGATTTGGGCCCGATTAAGAACATGTATGTTGATATATTTCGTAGAATTCATGTATTGCGCAAGTATACGCCAATTTTCAGTATCATAATTAACACGATAATATCCTATAATTAAAAGGAAAATTTTTATTATTAAAGCCTCTTGAAAAAGTTTATTAAATAATAATTTCTAATATTCCTTTTTGTGAAACAGTTCCTTATATTATTAATTTTTATATAAAATACTTTGAACAATTTGTTATAAAAAACATTAAGAACGAATAACGTGTGAGTGTACGAATAGTCTGAGAATTTGTGCTTGCGAGTGACACGTACGATTGTGCGAGTGCATATATCACAAGCATTAGGTGCATAAGATTAAAAAAAAAGATATCAAGATAAAACATAATAAGTGTAATGTTTTACATTTACCTGTTTTTCGTAAATTGACTATAATCCAATCATCTATATTCAACTCTTTCCATATTGATTTGATTTCTGGTGCTATTATCCATAAGGAATTATTGGGATAAATGTCTTGAAAGTTCATGATTGATTTTGTCGTATATGTCACGAATGCTGAAAGATGTTTTGTATCCTCGTAAATAACATCGAAATTGAATGTGGGTAATATTGTCGTGTTATTAAAATTATATCGTGTCACGTGTAGTACAGGATAATATTTTCCCGCTACCCAGACAGATATAAGATCATTTATAAAATGTTTGTGTGAACTATCTAGATACGTATGTAAAACAATTTGTACAATGTGCCATATATCATTTGTTTGATTATATCTGTAAAATGAAAATTTTCTATAAGAATATACACTATGCAAATTTTAAGCAAAAATTTTTTGTTTGCTGAACACAAAATTATTATTTAGTACATTAAAATATTAATTTATATATTTATATAATTATATTATTATATATTTGTATAATTAGTAATTAGTAATATTAATATAATTATACATAATTATAAAAGATATGTAGGATATATGTTTTTGGATTTGGAAAATGTTAATTTATCTAATCTTATATTTGGATAAATTAAACTTATTTTTTAAAATAAATTTGGATCAATTTTAATGCTTTCTTCACGGTACGATTTGGTGAATTTTATTAAAGGGTACAGAAAACCGCCTTATTCAACTGTGGTAATTTATTAATATGTAAATTAACGTAAATTGACATACATAAATTGCACTTTAAAAACAAGGAATTGAATTATATCTATCTAATTTTTTATAACTATTTTTTATCATGCTACACCAAAAAAATATCGCATTATTATATTATGAGCAATATTAATTATAAACGATTTTTTATATTATTTAACAATGTATTGCGGTACATTTGTATATTTCTAACATGCTGTATAACTTTTAATAGATACATTGGTCTCGGGACCTATTTTTTTGAGCTCAATATTTGTGTGTTTTAGAAAAACGTTAATATCTTAAGAGTTAGAAATAATAATAAAAAATACAATATTATTTAATAAAGGACAGTGTCTAGTACATAACCTTTTATTTTAAGTTTTTAACTAATTGTAAGAGATCATTTCTAAAAATATAACGGTATGTTGGTTTTGGTGATTTTTCTTGAAAAATCAAACGTTATGTTTACAATTGTTTACAGTTATGTAGCTTTAAGATTACTCGATAGGTTTGAAGCAGTATATATTTATTCTTTTAAATTGTAAAATTTTAAATACATCATTTTTCTTCAATATTCTGTTTATGTAATTATTATCTAGCAGAATATATAAAATGATATTACTTACTGTTTGCTATTAACATATGTGCGGATACCAGTCCAAAACACATAAGCATTAAACTGGTATAATATGTGCCATATATTGGATGCTGAAACAATTAAAATTATAAAGTGCTTGTCAAGTACTTTGAAACTTATATTTTTAAAAGTTAAAATATATTTCTTTTATAATAAAATTTATGTATGTCAGTACATTGTAATTTAAGTTGTTTGTAGATCAGTTTTTGATTTTTTTTTATAAAATTTAAAAATTTGCATATTATTTAACAGTATTATTTAACTATACTTGTTTTAACCATTTGTAGGATTTTACTTATATTTTGCCAACTCACATTTTAGATGATCTACATGATAACTAAGTGAATTCGTTTTGTTTGCATTAGAAGGAGTATCAAAGAGAAAAGATTCCCATTGTGTTTCAATGATAAATAAATTCATTATTTCATAATCCGGAAAAATCTAAAAAATATAAAATAATAAAATAAATATTTAGTTAACAAATTGCAATTTAAAGCAATACAGCACGACTGATCGTTGCAAATAAACTTTTTTATTATTATAACATTTTTTATTAAATAGTTGTTAACGACAGAAATTTAAGGGGGAGCCTCGTATGAATCGCTAAAACAAAGATGATTTTTAGGAATTTTTTTTTAAGAAACAATGCAACGAATCTTTTTAAAACTTTTTGGTGTTTTATAACATATATTAAAAAGTAAAAAAAAAATTTTTTTTGTTTAAAAATAA